CTCACGTTCCCAAATTCTTCTGGCTAAAATTTGTTGGCAAGACAGAAAGAATTTAAAGAGTGTTTTATCTAAAACCCCAACAAAAAGTAATTTTATCTGATTATGCTACCACATTTCACACAGATCTTTAAAGATTTGACTTGGGAGGTCAGAACATCTACACTTAGGTAAGACGGAACATCTAAATTTTATTTGGTATTTTAGTTTGAAAGAAAGACCAAGAAGCTACCTTTTTATCCCCCTCACCAGTTGTCCAAAGGGGACTCTCCTTTCCCCCCATCAAAAAACCCCACACACTGCTACTTTCTCACTACTGTGGAATATTCCTTACATTCAAGATCAGTACACTTCAGTCCTGATCTGAAAAAGTCTTTCCCAGCCCTATCTTTATTTTCTTTTAAGAGAATGTCATCACATTCAACTTTAAGAACAGGGCTGTTCACCAGGGACTAGGATAAGGTCAAATTCATTTCCAGTTGTCATCAGAACCAGGATATGAATTAAGCCTCCAAAAACATATTAGTTGAGTAATACACACAGCCCTCTTAAAAGGTTTCTTTCCCCCCCCCCTCAGCTACAAGCATGGATTTATAAAAAGAGAAGTCTCTACAGGCACAACAGGTTGGACATAATGAAGCACTGTTTCTATAGTCCTCTAGGTACCAACTTGAAAGGATGCTTCACTAGTAGCAATGATTGGAGAACACTTCTCCAGAGACCCAAGAAAATGTAATTCAATTTCAGTTGGTGAAAACTAGTATCTAGGAATGGTTGTTTTATAGACATTCTTTTTAGCTTCATATTACAGAAATGAATCAAGACTGTATTAATTCAAGAAAAGTCTTATTACCTAAAACCCAGAGAATTTCCTTGTGTTACTCACAATGAATTCCCCAAGCTTTCCGATTAACACAAAAAGCAAACAGATAACAAGCTGTTTTAATGTTTGTTTACGGAGCAGTAAGGAAAGATACAACAATGGAAAGGGGGGAAAATTTGAGGTCTCTTATAAAATAAAGAGTTCAGTAATACAGATTCGAAAAACTCCAGATTAAAAAAAAAAGATTGCAAGCATTATCCAAGAAACACTTCATTTGTAAAGTGATGCAGAGTTTCATGTTAAGCCCGTGTGACCTTATTTTTTGCATATTATCATTATCCACCCTAAAAAAGGTTACCTTTTGATATAGGAGAGAGGCAAAGAATTTAAGAGACTCACCTAGAGTACAGAAAAACAGACAAAGGTTTACCCAACCTCATTCCAGTGAGGCAAAAGAAGGGGTGATATTCCAGTTAAAAAAAAAAATCCCATCCCACCCCACCTTTCCCTAAAATCAGAGGAAAGACAGCTCCTACAGCATAGTCTAAGAGCCGCACCACTAGAGTTATCAAGTTGAGAAAAAAAAATAAAAATCTAAGACTATCTATGAGGCAGGCCAGATAAACTGTGCACTGCACATTTAGTTCAGAATAACAGTCTTCAGTAAAAGTAGTCAGATTTTGAACAAGACCTAAGCAGTGAGATTACTCCAAATACAGCATGAAGAGACATCGCATCATGTATTCATTGTGCAGTAAACCAGAGGTTAAATGTTTGGTCATTACCTCAAACACTTCTATTTGGTTTGGGTTCCGCCCCCCACCCCACCCCCAGGAACCCAAATGAAATCTGTTCCCTACTTTTACACTATTTTGTACTTACTGCTGGTAGTAGAGACTGCATGTTCTGGTTGGAGTCAGCTATAGTGGCTAGGTAAACCAAGTTTGTATGCAGCATCTGCTGGTATCTATCAAAATAAACGAAAGCAAAACAGATTTTAAGTCACAAATACAGCAACATCAGAATTTACTTTAATTCTACACATGTAAAGAAAGTTACCCAGGTAAAACAAGATTCAAGAGACTTACAAGAGTGCCATTATAAGAAACCCTAAGCCTTTTCCCCTCACACTTACCTATTACCCAAATTTTGCCAGTATCTCCACCAAATCTGTATTTTCTCTACAACTTCTGTCTTGCTATGAAAAGTCTAAAGCTGGGTAACACTGTTCTCACCTATTTCACTTCCTGCCCCAAACTAAGTCACCAGGAGACATATACAGTGCGTGTATGGCTGTTAAGTGTAATTTCCATCACCAACACCAGGAAAAGAGAGCTTTTTCTATTTTGTCCCCAGATACAAAATATCATAGATTGATGTGAATCTTGACTAAGGACAGCGCAAACATTTCATCGGGACCCTGAGTGTTGGAAGTTTGCTATTGAATGATTTTTCTGCTACAGAACCACATTCCAGAGTCTCAACATCAGCCCACAGTCATGAAAATAACCTTGAAAGCAGGAACAGATTACAAATACATAACTACAGGCTTGCAAAGAGCTTAATACAGTAACTGTGCTATAATAAAAGCATTCCCTTAAAGCAAAAGAAGTATTTATGACCCTCCTCCTACTCCCAGACTACCAGTTCTCTCAGTAACGGACTCGAGCCATACTGTGATGCCCCATCTACCACATGACTCCGTATCTGTCCAATTACAACGGTGCCATGATCATCCCACACCAGAAAAGAGTAATGGGAAAATAGCATTCCTTAATAATTCACTCCTTCCACAGCTCTCTCTGATCACTCTCCAGAGATCCCGCCAGACAGCAAGTCCACATGGGACATGCTGGCAAGCCAAACCTTTAAGACAAGCCTGTTTGTTCTTGGGGAAGTGGTAAGCAGGTAGTTTTCAAGCATGCTGAAAGGAAGAAGGAAGGTCCATGCCTACATGATTTTGAAAGGTTTGAGAAGAAAACTACCTCTTTCCCAAAGTGTAATAATGATAGAGGAAAAAGATCGTGGTTACACAGTCCCCATTTTGATGAGTGTCATCATCATGGTATCAACTTGCAGTAGGCAAGTTGCAACATTTCAGTGACAGAAGTGATAGTCATATGGCAAATAAAAACATAAATTGTAAGTATAGTAACTGTAGCAATACTTTTTTATTATTCATAGCAGTTCTCCTACAAGGTGAGCTAAACAAATCAAGAATGGTGATTTAGACAGAAATTCACCCAGTCCACACTAGATTTGGATTAATGTCTTACTGAGAGCATTCAGACGTCTTTCCTTTGTTCTGATAGTCCATTATACACTGAATAAGATGATTATTTTCATCCAACATCTGAAACAATAAAGAAGAAGTTTTAAGTAAGTTTCATGTTCTCTGTGGAAAGAAACTGAAGATAAGTTTGACTCTTGCTCCTCCTCTCAGAGTTGTGGTTTGTTTTTTTTTTTTTAAAAAAAAAGCAGTATTCCAGAAAGTTCCCCTTTAACCAATTATTTATAGAACCCTCTTTTGCTCCCATTTTCCCCCTCCAATTAGTGTTACAGCTTTCAGTTTATTGGTTTCATATCACTATTATAGCTACATTTGTGAATCTTCCCATTCAAATACCTATGCTTGTTCTGTGCCAAGTTCTTATGAAGTTTTCAAAGATTTGCATTTCTTCGTTTGTTCTCTACCAACAAATTTAGTTAAAAATTTATGCCCCAAGTCTTCCTCTCCTTCTAAAGCCTGCAACTGTTCATAAATTTCATAATAAAAGGCATTGAAGTTGTTATTGATAGAAACTGAGCTTACCAGACAGGTTTGTTGCAAGGAAATGCACTGGAAAAGTAGGCCATATCTACATGAAGAATCTCCAATTAAACTGCACTTTATAAATACTCTGTATAATGGGCACAACAGATCTATTATATTTCAGAATTGTCCAAGAATATGAACACATGTGAATTAGCTTTCTGACAAAAAGAAAAGTAGTCCTAAAATCATGGGAAATTGCTGATCTCACAGCTTTCTACAAAAAGCTCACAAATTCAAGGTGTTCCAAGCTCCATAAACAGGAAAAAAAAAAAGAAAAAAAAAAAGCCTGGTTTCCTAGAGCTGCACATCCCTGCACTCATGTCTTTTAACCACTGTCCCACACTCTGATCAGACAAGAGTCAGCAGAACCATGGCTATCTGAGCTACCAGACAAGTTACCCAAGTCAACTGAACTAAATGGAAAATTTACTAATGGAAAATTTTGCATTGATTTCTCCCTTTCCTTCCTCTCAGTGGAAAGTTAGTTTAGAACCCTTTACCCAGCTGCTGAATTTCACAAAACTAACAGGATCTTAACCATCTGCAAGACTCCTTCCTTCTTCCAGACACAGTTGAGACTAGCCAAGAGGCTCATGCTGCTACAAGGAAAGCACAAACAGTGTTATTACATCACATTTATTTCCCTAGGAATCCAACCTAAACAAATTCCATAGGAGGGGAAAAAACAAAAAAAAAGTATTGACACTTTTTTTCTTCCAACTAATCCATTTCTACTATGAAAAGGGTAAGGAGTCTGAAACCTCATGCAGGCCACTCAGGACTTACATCCGTGTAAGAATGAGCCAACCAGCCGAGTCTTCCTAATTTCAAGCCAGTAATTCACCAGAACTGACTAGAACTATCATAGAGCAATTATTTTGCCTGGAAACACTGCCATCAAGCACTAAACACAGACAGAACTGCAGTATTTTGAGTTACTGTCCGAGCCTCAGAAACTAGGCAGAACTGTAGATGCACACCCTGAAGAGGATCACAAACACATTGCTACACAGCCACACTTCACATATAATTACATCAAGTTTTTTAATAAAAACAGTGGCCGTTTTCACCAGAAAAAATAAGGAAGAAGGAGCTAATACCTGAGACCAAAGTCTAACAGAGCACTTGCAAAGGAAGCCTTGAATCAAGACTCTCCTCAGAACATCTCCCACCTTCCAGAGGAAGGCAGCAGATACTTAAGGCTTAGCAGACAGGAAGACCTTGAGACTGCCAGTTAGATGGTTGCATTCTTCACTGTCACCACGTAAGCTGGACCTCTTGGCAGGAGGAGGGGGGAAGAAAGGAATGTTAGGGCCAAGAAGAAAGGAAACAAGAAGAAATACAACTGTATAATAAATGGGGCTGCAGGCACCATTTTTATACAAGTTTGATTGAGCTGTTGCTGATAGAAAATCGAAATAGTTCTTTGAAAGAGTTATAAACACCTACCATCAAAAGAGCATTTAGTTTCCAGCTGGATGAAGACACCTCCAGGGCTTCTGACAGCTTATGTACATTACAAAGATCCTTCAGCTTTAACTATACCAGGGTTTTGCCAGCACACCACCACCAAATTAATGGTTTGACTACAGCACAAGAAAAACTTAATTGTCTGCATTCTCCATATGCACCCCAGCGACCTGAAGTCTCTACTGAGTACCTTTAGTCAGCTTTCCACCCAGTGGGTATGTATTTTTCATCCACGCTTCTCAAGCACTGATTCCTGCTACAGCACCCTGGAGGTCTCCATTATACCTCTGGGGGCTTCTCTGAGGTCCCGATCCCTGCAACACCTACCTTGTTGACGCTCTCATTCTTTACTAAACCATAGGTTATCTATATCTGCCTGAAAGTCTTCTATGCAAGGAGCTTGTAAGTAATCTGGAATCTGATTGATTCACGGCTGTTTACACTGATAACAGTGTGAGCCTTCAGTTAAATTTCTAAATACCACTAAGTTACCAGTGAACTTGAACATGCTCCTTTGCTTCTGCTGATGCAAAACCTCGTGGATTATTACAGATCCTATATACGCTTTTCTTTCGTTGCTTCAGCGAGTTAACTTGCTCCCTCCCACAAAAGCTCAAATGGAGTCGTTCGGAGCCGCTGTCACTGGCTCCGACCACAATGTTCTTCCTTAGTAACACTTAAAGTTTAGGGGCAGCCTCACGACGAGGCAGGCCAAGTTTGGGAGCTGCAGTTGCCGCTGAGCCCGCGGAGGCAGAGCCCGAAGTTAGGCAGGCTCTAGGACAACCCGACTGAGGTCCGGCTTACAGACGTCCCTCAGGGAAAGGGTTACTCGACTCCTCCGTTCCCCCACCGCGCCAAGCCGAGTCCTTACAGATTAGCTCACGCCCAGG